GTTCGATGCCGGTTGGTCTCTGAGGACCAACACCGTCTCGAACAAAATTAAAACTACTATTAATGATAATACAAAAATACAATAGAAATTATGCAACAATCTTATACTTACTGCACTAAGACCAAGTTCAGCGGCATCAGTATATAACTTTATCGCAATGTCCTTTAATCCTGCTTCATCTGCATCTAATGCTTGATTCATGAGAAATTTACATTTCTTTAATTCAGACTGGTATAAAGGTTCCGGCTTATGACTATTTTGTTCCTCTTCGCGAACTAAAAATTTCAAAAATGACATAAATATTTTTCTGTTAAAAATATTTATAATATATATATATAGAAAATTTCATGGCGCATACTTACCAAGGCGTTGTAGCAATGAAATCCTCTCACAATATTCTGCAAGCTTATCTTCATACATGCCATCTGAATGCAATTTAGTAAGAAGTTTAATAGCAATGTCATAATAATATAGGGCCTGTTGATATTGACCATTACTATCAAACTGCACTGCTCTACGAGCAGTAAGTCGTGCATCATCTAAAGTTTGTGTCATTTTAATAAACAAAAAAAATCCAGAATTCAGATTTATTAGATGGTAAATTGTTGTGTGCTTTTTTAAACTTGTTTAAACTTCTGAATAAGGATTTATGACCCATTATAAAACGTTATAATATATGCACAGTATCATGCGATAATTGCATAGTTTAACATATACAAACACAAAAATTGATAAAAAGTATTAATCGACGCGTTTTTGCGTGAAATGAACGAATCTAACAAAAAAAAGTGTCACTCTATCCCATGAACCAAGATATTAATAGATAAAATTACTGACTATTGAGGTTATCAAATATATCATTTTGGCTATGTTCAGCACTTTCAGCAGATCACAACAGTCCGGATCCTCATACGAATAACAGCGCTTTGACACAGAGCGCTGATTGGTAAAAAGCCGGTGAAGGTAAAATTTATCTCCATCACCCGTTCACCAATCAACGTTTGGTATCAAAGCAATGTTATTCGTAGTAGTAGGCGGTATATTTCGCTTGCTGCTTCTGCTTTTCGCGAGTTCTGATTGGCTTCCGTTTTTTATTTTTCCGTCAAGGTGTGAACCTGGCCTTATATAACACATAAAACATGAGGCATAAGAAAATCAACCAATCAGAGTTCTTTATTTTACAGAAAGGAAGAAAATAAAGCACTTTGATTAGTTCATTTCTTTATGAATGTCTTCGAATATGTAAATATTTTGGAGAATGTTGCTTCTCAGCGTTCGAAGAATATACACCGAAGAAGATATGCCGACATTTCGATTCGTTCATAATAATAGTGCTGTCCATACTTTTCACATAATAAAAGAATGGTTCTCACACACCTAAAAATTATTATAAAGTGGCCACTCAAATCTCCGGATCTCAATTTAATTGAAAATGTTTAGGGAGTAATTGCGAATTGGGAGTAATTCGTGGGATTGTGAGAAAACTAAAGCAAATCTTGTTGCACACGCTAGGAATATATGGGAAGGCTTAAGGCATAAATCTCAATATTTTGAAAAATTGAGCGGTTCGACAAAATCGATTAATACAAGTAGTTGCACGAGAAGAATACTAAACCGATTACTGAATTGGTCTCAGTATTTAAACAGTTCTTTCCAGAACTAACAAACAGTTCTTATCTCATCATATTTTTGGACGAAAGAATACTTACACATCATCCCAGCAAACGAGAATGGATAAAAATGGATTAAATTTTTTTTAATGCGTTTAAAATTCATGAAACTTTAAATCCATGAAAATGGATTGAATGGATTGAAATGGATTAGATCCGAGCTAGTTTAATATTCGAAAAAAAAAAATACATTCATATTTAAGGGTTACAAATTTTATTTCTAAGACATTTATAATAATTATATCTGAAATTAACTCCTTCAAATTGGTAAATTAAAAAACGCACACCTTTGTGGGATTTGAACCTGGAATCTCTGGATTATGAATCTTCTACGTTACCCTATACCATTTCTTCAATTGGCAAATGTGTTATTCATTCTCTATTTCAATTACAACTAGCTAAACTAGTAACGAAATTATTTAGACATAATAAAAATATCATCATTTAACATATAATAAAATATAAGAATTTACATTACTATGAGACGACATTGGATAAGTGTCGGATAATCTAATCTCGCCTGACCAATGTCGCGCGCCGTAATTAACCTAATATTCGGACTGTGTTTGACTTGGTTTGCGAGTGTTCATATCGATCATTCATTTTACTTCTAATCAAAGAGAAACAAAAGAACTCAATTATTTTTACGTTACAACTTTTTTGAACTTAGTTGAATTAAAACGTAAAATTTCCTACTTATAATTTTGAATAATTTAAGTAACATTTATGATCTATTTTTAAATAAAAACTTTTTTTATTTAATTAGATTGAAAAACTGCATTTTATATTTAGAATATTGAATTGAGCAGTATTCACGTTGCACAAAAATTGCTGATATTATTTTTGAATTCAACTAAATTAAAAAACTGTACGCTCTATTCACAATTCTGAATTGAGTAGTATTCATGATGTGCACAGAAAAGGCTAATATTATTTTTAGATTGAAAGGCATAGAGATATGCTCTATGCAATTCCTATAAATGAATAAAAATGCATTCAGGACTGAAAAGGCATAATCATTTGTTCTATGCAATTTCTATAAATAAATAAAAATGCATTTAAGATTGAAAAGGATTCATTTTAACATTCATGAATCCGTATTTTGAAAATCTGAATCTATTTTAATCAATTTCAATCCATTCTTGTTTGCTGGGATTCTATTTTCAATAAAAAGAATAAATTATTTTTAATTTTAATAAATGATCTATTAATTTTTTCTGGTCTACTTATTCAGATTTCTTTCCATTTATTGTCGTTCATATCTATAAAATATTCGTTACTTTTTTGTTACTTTCTTGTAACAATAAAAAATTATTAGAGTTAAAAATTACATTTGATAATTAATATTAAATGTAATAATAAATAAATATTAAAACTTGAAATTCTCTAAACTCTAGTCTGTATATATTATAGAACAAGTTTTTCTTCATATTAATTTTATCTAATAATTTTTCTAATTCCTTATATTATCTAATATCTTTATTTTTTAGTACTCATTTATATAAGTTGATATTAAATATTGTGTTACATAATTGTTAAACGTTAATGTCATTATTAAGAGTTAATATTTCAAAATTTATTTTTAATATTGAAAATTAAAATTTTCGATATGACAGAGATTAACAAAATGCAGCCTAAGATATACAATAAAATATAAAATGTTTTTTAAGAATATTTAATCTATTGGATCTATTTAATCGAAATTAAAGTAATAAAAGTAACGACTAAATCGTTACCCTGTGAGTAAATCAAATCGATAAGTCAGGGCTACTGTATAGGGCTAATGATCCTGCGAATCATTTGTACAACCGCATTAATGTGCAGAGTGCGCATTAGTTTTGCTAGTGAAAAACGCTATTTTGCCGTAAAGACGAAATAACCTGAATTTTGTTGGAAGTTTTAAAAAATAAAATCAAAGGGTCCTTGGGTGTAGTTATATTAAAAAGTGGAGATTTTCATCATTTATTTTATATATCATATACATTTCCATACATTTTTATTAGAGCACAAATTTAAATATAATAGGTACTACTATATTTATTAAAATAACTTATAATCCAGATAGTAAACTGTCTCCATGTTATTATTTTTAAATGTGATTTAGAATAATCGCTAGTTTTTTCGTAATTTTGTTATTATTTTGAAATATCACCTATACATCCTTAATTGCAAATTATAAAAATATTAAGAATTAACAATATATTTCAAATTATATTATTATATTAGGTGTTGGAATTAATTCGTAGCGTTTTTAATGAAAGAATGTTATTTATTTCACATGAGCATTAAAAAATACATTAATGAAAGTACTTCCCATCACTTGTAAAACGCTACGAATTAATTCCAACACCTAATATTACTCTCTATATACATATAATATATAATATTATATTACTATATTGTATGTAATACATACACGCATTTCTTTTTAATGTTCCATCCCTAATATAAGAATGGGGAGAACCTCCCTAACTTCTCACAGCCCTGCATAGTAGAAGTTATGGAAGTTCTATATTCTCTATATTTAACATTGTGCAAATCAAGCAGTTTTTAATAAAATTATATATCCATTTACGCAGTGATGAGAATAATATTTACTCACAACATGAACCTAAATCGCATAGTCTTTAATGGGCCTTTTACAATAAACCATTAATCATAAATCAGAAATCAGCAATAAGATAAAACACTAAGTTTGATAATGCCTCTATTTAAGAACTATTTAAAAGATCATAATTTGCCGAATCTGTCTCTATTAATGTGTATTTACATCAGTCAGAAAACTTAATAAAGAAAGCACAAATAAGAAAAAGTATTTTTTTATTAAGTTAAATTGTTAATGTATACGATATCAAAGATAATATTTTACTTTTTAACTATTAAAGTATTTTAAACATTTTTTGAAAGACATGAGGAATTTATGTGAATCCAATAATACGTACCGTAAGATTTTAAGTTTGTCCCTATTAATGTGCCTTATATTGAAACTGAGAACGTCGTATTATGAGTATATACATTGAAATAATTGGGAGCACATTAATAGAGTCATCATCACTTGAATAACTCACTAATAGGGACAAGAACATGTTTTTTATTTTTGTCACAAACATTATAAAGTATTAATATTTTTTTTAGATTAAAGAAATACAAAAAAAAAGAAATTGTTGAAAAATTGATATTGATTTTAAACAAATGAAAAAATATTAAATACCTATTCAGTAATAAGCAAATTGGCTTGAAGGCACGGACAGAGTAACTGTCTCTATTATTAATAGATCCTACACTTAGAATTATCTTTTAAAGACACGGTAAGCGTACCCAAGTAGCCAAAGAAATGGGTTTCTATGTAGCGCAGAATCTTCCTATGTTTTATCTCTCTTAAGCAAGCGGGCGCGTAAACACGGATGTGAGAGAGATTTTATTATATCCGATGGAGCGCAGGGCATCTGGGAACTATTAAACAAGACAATCTCAGGAACTATTAAAGTATTTTAAACATTTTTCGAAAAATATAAGGAACTGTGGTTCTAGCGGCAAAAACCTTACGGTTTTAGCGCGGCTAGAATTTTATGATCTAATATCGGCAGATTTGATGTCTTATTGTTAGTATAAGAGTATGTCACATCTTGAATAAAAATATGTCATTGTATTGAAGGCAGCTGGAAGGGCGTTAATGATATGTGAACATGGAGCGCCAAAACAAATCTTCTCCACTCCTTCTCTGGCACCAGAGATCAAACGTATTGACCTAGATAAATGACTTGCACTGATGAGTTGATGCGGAAGGGTGACTGAGGCTATTAAATGGTGCCTTTTAATAATGTTTTCGATTGGGAAAAAGTTAGTGCGTACCAGTGCATACTCAGTTCACACGAGTTCCATGGATTGCACTGAATAGTGCAAGTTCAAAAGAACACGCCAAGATTTTCAGTGCTAAAGCTGAAATGCCATTTTAAGTTGTAAGATTGTAAGGACTTGACTAGACTGCAGGAAGAACGCAGAAAAATAACCTCGATATCTCATGTTCATAACTTTAAGTAATGATTTTTTACTATATGTAATTAAATAATATATAAGATATCAAGAATATATCAATATGCTCAAAGAAGATATCAAGAATATATGTACATACTTATCAATAATTGTACATATTTGCATGTTATAAATTACACACAAAATAGTACAAATTTTATTAATCTAATCTTTAACTTTTTACTAAATTTGATATTTTTCATTAGGATTAAAGGATGAAAAAATTGGAAGTCATCCTTATGGAATTTTTCAACATTAACGTTTTAAGTTATATGTTTTAAAATGGTTCTTAAGTCTCCACTGTGATTGGCCAATTCGCTTACTGTTTAAGTCTTACTGCCTAAAGTTTTTTGTGTGCGATGGCCCTTATCCTGTAAAATTAATTCAACTTGCAATGATATATGTATATATGCGTGTATAAATAATTATGTACTTTATTTTAGCCACTGATTGTATTAGTTGTTGGATGTCATTACGAAATAGATTTTCTAAAGAACGTGCCAAAAAGACACTCTCAGGATCAGCTACACAAACGGAATGGCCGTTAATGAAATGTGTGATTCGGCAAGTAATTAAAGTATCTAATGAATATTATTGTAAGACTAGAGGATTAACTATGTTAATATAATAGAATACATAATATTTCCCATGGAACAATTGAAAATAATATGTCAACCATATCTAATACATAGTAATACTAATGACTACATACATAGTAATACTAATGACTACTTATATCACAATAACAATATAAATATTAGTAGTAAGTAATATCAATAATAATCTTCATAATTCTATTTTTAATAAATTAACAGAATCTGCATATACTAATATTAATGATATTATTAAATTAATGATATTATTTTACCTTGATTTATTTATTAATGTATAGGTTAGACGTTATATTAATTTTATGTCGTATTTTTTATAGACTCTACGCTTTTCTAAATCTTATTGCAAAAGAATAAAATAAAAACAGTAATAACAAGCCAATAAAACCTATTGATTTAACACATGATAAAAATGCTGTTGATCAAAACAATGCTGGTAAGATTCATACTTAATTTCCGTATAAATATTCATACGTCTATTAAATTCTTTAATTTTATATAGAAGTTTAAGAATATAAAACTATTTATCGATCTCCAAAATTTGCTTAATTTTCAGATCAGTCAAAAACATTTGTATGGCCGGACAAAGCAGTATTATTATTAATCGAATTATATAGAGAAAGAGAGGAAGAATTTTCAAATGGTTTTAAGCGCAGCAACAAAATTTGGGCTGAAATTGCAGCTCAGATAGAGGAAACTAATTCAGCTTATAACATAACAGCACTTTAGTGTTCGTCCAAAATGTCCAGCTTGAAGCGGACATACAAAAATATTATTGATTTGAATAAGAAAAGTGGCAATCATAAAAATACGTGGGCATTTTTTATGTTTTATCATATACATACACACACATATGTACACATGAACACACACATACATACATAATTCGCGCACACACACACACACACACACACACACACACACACACACACACACACACACACACACACACACATATATAAATGTTGCAATATTCACAGCTATGCAACAAAAAAGAGGATCTTGTTAGTGCACATGCTGAGAGCATAAATCCACTTACATTAGTCAATGCTTAATAATTTTTCATTACTATATCAATGAGAATATTTTATTTTAAATTGATTAATTAGCGATGTGCATTATCGGAACCTCTCCAAGATATATTTATATATTACATCATGGATTCATTATTTGATGACAAAGCATCCATCAAATCTCTTGGACACGGAAACCTCTACAAACTTTTATGAAAAATTGAACAAAAATGTATGGAAAAATATTGCTGCATCTATACATCCTTAACATCCCATCTTAACATCCATGGATATAATTTGACTGCTGACAATTGTTACATTAAATGGACCAATATGAGAAAAAAATATATCAAAAATAAATAAAAAAAACAAACTGGTACAGAAAACGAACTTGAGAATATTTAAATATTATTAACGATATATTAGGAAATACACAATATTCACTGTATAAGTACATACAATATGTAAAAAATAGTTTACGTCATAAAAATTTACAATAAGTATAAAATTTAAAAACTTATTGCTAGAAATCAGTCAGCATTTTATAATCTGCAAAGAAAAAAAATTTTATTTATATATTGCGCGATATATTATACATAAAAAAATGCTAAAAAAACATTAAAATACTTATACTATACAGAAATACTTATTACGCATAGAAAATTGCAATAATTACATATAAATATAATTAAAATAAAACGATATAATAAGTTATGATATAAATATCTTTTGTGATATTTGGATCAGATTGGAAGAGCAACAAATATGTAAAAGAGAAAATATTATGTACAATATTTCTATGATTTAATTCGTAATTAATGCAATCATTCAATAATGTCTGAGATCTTATTTACAAAAGGTATATTCAGGTTATTCGTACTCGCTTTTTTTTTTCAGAAATAGATAGTAATCAGAAATTAACGAAAACATTTTCATTACCAAATTAAGCCGATCTTTTAGACAAGAATTAATAAGAAATGATATTTTTTTATGTTAACAATAAAAGATTTTAAAAACTTTTTTATTTAAGGATGTTTCATTTCAACAAACATATTTAATATCTTATTCATCTGGATTTAAATAAAAAATTTAAGGTAAATTAAATGTGCTATAGTTTTCTTAATTTCTAACTTCATTTCTAAAAACTTAAGTACCACTATCTAGTTCATGTAAGATGTTCGTGTAAGATTTGAACTTAAAAATTATAATTTAAATCCCTGATAAAACTGGTGAATAAATGGGTGTCTCGAAATTTATGAATTTCCTTCTTTTTCTCGTAAATTATAAGTAATAAAAAAAAATTAAACAAAAATTATTTGTTTTTGGAAAACCCATACAACGATAGTCTACTTGATCTCTATTAAAAATTTCATACTCAGATTTGACCCACTGACTTTGACTCAGATTTACCCTACTTTCGATATAATTTTCAAAAAACCAAAATGTCACTATTGAGTGGTTTAGATAGATTGATAATAAAAAGGAGGATATTAAAAGAGGCCGATTTTTGCTCATAAAGATATAAATAAAAGGAATAGCGATGTTGACTTCTTGAATACGATAATGTTAATAAAAAAATAGTGGTCGAAAATTGCGGAAAAAAAGGAAGATGTTAAAAATAGGCTGATTTTTGCCCATAAAAGTAAAAGAAAAAGCGTTTTTTATATAGGAAATCAAAATCTATAAAAAACGCTATTCCTTTTACTTACATCTTTATGGGAAAAAAACAATTTCTTTTTAATAGCCTTCTTTTCCCACAATTTCCGATCACTATCCATTTCTGAGAAAAAAAGTCGTACTGGTGATCTAATATATCCTGTATATAACTTTGTGTTGACAATGTTTCTTGTTTTTCTGACTGGTATCTCTCTTTCTTCATTAGCTCTTTTCCATGTGATGTTTCTCAGAAGGCTAAACATTTTATTGCACAGCTTGCAATGGAGAACCTGTTTCGCTTTATCAGGAATTTATATAGAATTAGCAAAACAAAAATAATTACACTTATATTGTTTCGTATTTAATATTAGTATCTATATATAACATTCATCCAGAAGAAAGACAGATTGAGTTATACATTAAAAGAATCTGACGTAATAATATTCATCCATGCTGATTGCTATAGTTAATAATTTTTTTATTAGCTCTAGTATTCCGTTCAAGTGTATTAATATCTTGCCTCAAAAAACAAGATATTAATTCACCAAGAGTTATATTTCTTTTATTCCTTATTTTTCGTATGGAGGCGCATATGTTTTTTCAAATTATCTAGTCGATTGCACCGGCGATCGCAGTAATCGCACTTGTAAGGCATCAAATTGCTATGCACTACTACGTGACCGTTTAGATGACTAATCTGCTTGAAGCGCTTGCCGCAGATGGTGCAGGTATATGGACGTTCATTCATGTGCGCTGACGAGATGTGCGTTTGCAGATTTGTCTTCCTAACAAATGTCGCCTTACACACGTCACACTCGAATGGCCGTACATTCGCGTGGATCGCCAGGTGCGATTTGAGTACATTCTTATGCTTGAAGTTCTTTTCGCATAAATGACATTGAAACGGTCGTTCGTCGTTATGTACCTTTTTGTGCACCGACAGATGTGCCAATTGCTTGAACATCTTGGCACAAATCTCACACTGATATGTACGACCATCTTCATGCGCGGCACTGACGTGACGGCGCAAAGTATCCGCCAGAGTGTACCGTTTACCGCAGATCTTGCAGCAGTACGGACGCTCGTTGGTATGCGTCAGCAAATGGCCGTTAAGATTGCGCTTCTCAAGGAAACGTGCACCGCAAACATCACACTGATACGGCTTTTCACCATTGTGCACATACATGTGCTTCTTCAATGAGTTTGACAGACTGAAACGTTTTGAACATATGGTGCACTGAAAACGACGCTCGCCAGTGTGCACCAACATGTGTGACTTGACATGACCAGCTTGCTTGAATCGCTTGCCGCATACCTTACAGTCATAATGACGTTCCTGCGTGTGCGTGAATATGTGTCGCTCTAGCACGCTCTTCATTGTGAATACCTTTTTGCAGATATCACACTCAAACAGACGATAGACGTCGCGTACCTTTGATGTCGTCGTTGTGGCGTCGCCTTTATGCGAGGGTGTATGTTGCTTCAGCAAATCCAGCGAGTCGAACTTTATGCTACATACTGTGCATTGGAATGAACGATAGTCATGATGAGTCAGTGAGTGTTGACTGAGATGACCCAGTTGCTTAAAACTCTTTTTACATACTTCGCATTCGTACGGTCGTTCATTTGTGTGCGATCGCATATGTCTTTCTAGCACGCTTGGAAAACTGAATTTTTGCTTACAAAACGTACACTTTAGAGGTTGTGTCTTTGATGTACGATTCTCTGCGGACAGTTTCCGTCTCCCGGTTTGGTTGGAGCTCTTATTGTCTTTGTCAAAGGATTCTTTCATATCAAGCGACAAATCACAATTTTCATTCATCATTTTGAGATCGGATGTTTCTTGTGTTAGTTGAATCATAGATCTTGTATTAGCAATATTTCTTGTTTTTCTGACTGATATCTCTCTTTCTTCATCAGCTTTATCTTTTCCATGTGATTGCTTCATATGCTTCTCGAACAATCTCAGAACGCTAAATGTTTTATTGCACAGCTTACAATGGAGAACCTGTTTCGTTTTGTGAATTCTTATGTGATTTTTCAAATGCCCTATTTTCATATATTGTTTTTGACAGTACTCGCATTTGAGGGATTGAGTATCTTCGTTGTCTTTTAATTCATTCTTCATGACTATTTTATCTGTAGATGTTGAATCCATCGTGTGTACATTATTCAGATCATCATTCTTCACGTTGACGCAACTAAGAATATTTGCATTGTCGGTTTTTGAAAATGTATTTTGACTCTGTGTATCTCGTATATTTTCGTTTTCTTCGCACTGCTGAAACATTCGAAATAGAATAATTTCAATCATTATGTTACGTTTATAATATTGAGATACATTGTACATTATATTGCATTATTACATTGATATTGTTTGATGTACTTTGTGTGTCTTCCGTCATTGCAGCCTCACCTCCATCCATCTTATTCGACAAATGTTTAATCCATTCTTCTTCTGTTGTCAGATTTTCCGTATCTTTTCCTATACCTTGAAAATTCTTGCGTGCATTTTGTCTGAACAATACGTCATATGGAACTCTGCCGTTCTGATAGCGATACGTAGTGTTATGAACAATTTGTATGAAGTTCAGTCCCTCGCACCAGGTTCTAGTTGGATTTTTTTTCATCCAAGATTCAAGTGAGCTCTTAAAATCCCTGTAGCTAACTTCGCACTTAGACGTGTCCCCATGCAGTATGAATAAATCATTCCACATCGAACGTAGTTCACATACAACTTGTTCAGCAAACATACGTCCATTGCCGCTCTGTAATACTTGTGGTGCTCCTATGATTCCCAATACATCTAACAGATTCGCCGCGACCTCTTTAGCTGTATTGCTACGGAGAGCCTTTAGTACAACAAATTTGGAAAATTGATCTTCATAAACAAAAAAATACTTGTAATTCAATGTTGAATCAACTGTCATCTCTATTACATCGATGCGACCTTTATTATACAATTTCTCTGAATCGTCAGTCAATTTTTTGGATAGTTGATTTAAAGAATCTATTTGACAGGGCTGAAAAAAGTACAAAATATATAGAATAGTTTTAATTAAATTTTTAGTACATAAAATATTTTTAATTATATATCATATGAGATAACAATATCTATTTTTAAATTAAATGTCTAATCTCA